TTAGTCCCTATTATTTTTTTCTTGAAAATAAGGAATTTTTAACTTTAGATTCAAATTTAAAATCTCAAATTTTTAGATATAACAAGACGATAACCTATTGACCTACTAGTGTGGTTACTTTAATTCTTATTGTTCTTTTATTAAAATTTGTTAACATTGTATTCTGTGGATGATTTTACCTTTTACTAATACCAGCACCATGTTATGGTTTATTTACACATATAGATATTATGTAAAATTTTAAATTAAACTGTATAAATAAGAGATTAATGTATATCAATTTCAACTTAAAAAAAAATATATATTCTCAACTTATATTTATAAATTAAAATCTTAATTTAAAAATTAAAATTTTAATTAATTTTTAAATTTAAATATTAATATTTAATAAAATAATTTTTAAATTTTAAATTAAATTTTAATTAAATAAAATGACGTAATTTAATTTTAAAACTAATTTTTTTGGAGTTAAAAACTTAAAATTGATATATATTTTTGTTGTACAAACAATTTATACAACGTAAAACTAATTATAAGTGTAAGTTTATTCTTGCTCTTCACTAGAGGGCAGTATCAAATTTACTATTAATTGATCAATATTAACCCTTATGTTAGGAGGAAAAAAAATGTTAACTAAAATGAAGTGAAAAAAAAAAAAAAAAAAAAAATGTTAACTAAAATGAAGTGAAAAAAAAGAAAAGAAAAGAAAATTTTTTCCATTTTTAAACTTTGAAATGTTCAAAAAAAGAAGAGCCACTATAAGCAAGAAGCTAAAGCCACGTTAGCCTTGAACGAGAAGAACGTGTACGGACCTTGAATGTTCAAACTACAAAGCCAAAACTCCCCCCCTCAATTTCTCCTTCGCTCAAAAACTTTAAGCCATGATCAGATTCAGATCAACAACTGCTCTGTTTCTTCTCTGCTTCATCATTCTCTTTCCTCAGATTCTATCCGTAGCAGACGAAGGAGGCCATCGTGCCGCGGACCCGCCGCCACCCACTTTCCATCGGATAGTATCCGACACCATTGCTTTACTGAGGAAATCTCATAAAAGCTCTTGGGAAAAGATCAAGTCCATCATAAACGATATGCAATTGGAATTCTTTCCTCCAAATCTTGAGTAAGATTGCATCTTTTTCTCTTTCTTGCTTTTGTTTTTCGATCTTCTGAATTGTGTGAGTCAGTTTCAGAGTAAAGGTTAAAGATGAGAGAGGCAATGGCGTTGGAGACAAGATGAAAGAAG